TCTATTTTCTGGCACAATACATACACAAACTCACGGCTGGAACATGTAGAATATATATATAGGTAGGTTAGATATTTTAGTTATGGGCACTAACCAATCTACCAAATGGTCCATGTATATGGGCAATTAATCCGAACCCACACACTAGCCGAACCACCAATCTAATAAACCAGCTAAATAACCACTATTTAGGCCAAACTCATAGGCCATCCTGAAGAGTGCAAAGTTGTTTCTAGGTCAAGCTAAGTCTATGATGTCAATAAATTATCTAACATCTATTTTAAATTATCATCCAAAATTTATTAGGTATCAAAACCTAACAAATCCCCATCTTGATACCCATTCAACCATCATGTCAATCAGGGTATTTGATAAAATTAAAATCTATCAAACCTGAAACACATACCATATCTGCTTCATATACTCAGCAGGGTTGAGGTCAAGAACGCCCAAGTATAAGCAATTAATCACAATAATCAACCAAGAGCATATAAACATGCGATAAAAATATAGCATAATATAACACACATAGATAGTTTTAAACATGTTCACACAGAACAACAAATTAATACCAAGTTAATCAATCGGCTGACACATATGCAATAGATGCATAAATGACCACACGAAAAGATCTCACCACACTTATCCTATCTCATTCCGTGTTGGTCGCACATCGAGAATACATATATCCTCTTATTGCTCACTATTCTCGTTAGACTAATCACTCAAATCATGTCTTAGTCCACCTGATCAGAGTTTTTACAAGTAGAGGATTCCAACAATGATGGTTATTATGCATCTACAAAGGAAAGTAGAACAGAGAAGAAAATTGAAAACTTTGTAAAGAATCCAAAGATGGCCCCACACATTCATGTTTTCTTTCAATGCACATCAACACCTTAAACATTTAATCACATCTCCACTCATGATCCAAATTTTCCACATCTCTGGTACATATCACAAATGTACACTTACGTATCTATACTACAAATTACCAACAAACATCCTCATTACTAATGCATCTTGAAAACCCAACATGGAAGTTCGACACCTTTTGCGACCACAAAGATTAGAGCTTTATTTAAATTGACACAGTACCACAAAGTTACTCCAAAATCGATGATCAAGAAATCCATGAAGGATTTATCCAACAAAGGGAAGGGTGAAGGTGGACTCATGAAGAATATAGAATAAAAAGTTGATTACTTCACTACAATCACAAAGAGGTAGAAGATAACCTTCACATGAGTGTCCCATATAATCTCACAAACAACATAGGCTCACAAAGATAAAGAAGAAAATGACTGCCCCCTCTTTCTTATTACTACTACACTCTTTTACACCACTCACAAGGCAAAAGGAGTATGCCATAAATCTCAACCCATTATACATGCAAACACATTACAGAAAATGATCAGATTACATCAATTCATGCAGTTGCACACAAAAACAAATTGAAAATGTAACATATCAACTATGTATGTTTTAAGTTTGGATTGGAGTAGAGTAGCGTTGCGTATGAAAATCCCATACCACCTATGTTTGGTATAGATTTTTATGTCTAACTATGTATATATGTACGTATGAAATTCCTTAAATTTTGTACAAATATTAATCCACGTCTTATACGCTTATTGAGATTTTGTCTCACACCATCTTTATCCTCTTATAGGGAATTGATGGTTCATGGTAATTAACGCATGAGAGGACTAGCGAATTGGCAAGTGAAAGAAACCCACTAGGCTTGCTTTTATTTATTTAAGAACTTATTTAATTATTGGTTTAGTGTTAAGAAGCCAAACTTCTAGTATTTTCTTTTATGTTGATGTAATAAATATATATATATATATATTCACTCTTACAATTTCATGATATTATTTAAATAAGTTTCAAGTTTTTGAAAGTGCAATATAATCTATAATATACGATTTTAGTAGCACTCGAATTTTAAAACTTGGATTGTTATACAAACCTTTACCATCCCTCTTAGAGATGGCAACGAGGCGGGTATGGAATTCGGGCTGTAAATGGATCAAATATGGAGTGGATCTGCTCAAATCCGATTCGATCCGTTAAGAAACATTGTCCTATCCAATTCGATCCGATAATTCAACGGATATTTGATTGTTAAATTCATATCCGATTTGCTATGTTATCGGATATTCGATCCGAATTTAAAAAAAATAGTTTTTCAATCATTTTTTTTTGGGTAATATGATTTTTTTCCCAAAAAATATTTTAACCATCTTGATGAGCTCACCTATTATGTTAGAAGGCCCAAATTAAATTTTTATCCAAGTGATGCTCCTTTAGTTCCTTTTTAAAGGAGGCTCCTCTTGGAATATTTTAGTAATCTTCCAATATGAGATACTAATTTTTTAAATGATACTCCTCTTCCAATATTTTAGTGATTTTTCAATGTGGGATATTAGTCAATTGTCAATTTTAAGTGTCACTAGTTTATGTTATTATTTTCATTAAAAATCATATCCTCAACAATATTATAATCACAAATAATATTAATGTAAACAATGTAAATTATTTTTTGACATATTAATTATTAGTTTTCGATGTTATGAAACAAATTACTATAGTTATTTTTATCTTATTTTAATTAATAAAAAATTAAATCTCTTCGAATATTTCAATTAACAATATTATACTATTATCTAATATTATTTATTATTTGAAAATTATGTGTAATGCATAATAAAAGTTTAAAAATGGAAAAAATTATGTTTACTAGATTATGATAAAATATATTATATTCTAATAATAAATTAAATCGGATCGACCTATATCCATATTTGCTCCATTTAGTTAGCGGATTATCGGATTCAGATCTTAATCAAATTATTGGATTGAGATCCTAAATTCGTCTCTCATTAATTTCATTGAATTCAGATTAAAATCCAATCTATTGACAACCCTATATGGAATGAGTCAGCCATTCCCACCTTGTCTTGTCGAGTATTTTTGTTATCTTACCTTATATCCATATTCGATTAAAGCTGGATGGGTGGGTTCGAGGTGAGTCATCTGCCACATTCATCGTCCCATTTATTTTTTCTTTATTTTATTTTTTGCTTTTATTTTTTTATATCCTTAGGTAGTAAATATTGCTATTTGTTTACCAATTTGTTAAAAACAACTTATGTTCTCTTTAAAATGATGATAAATCTATTATTTTTGTTTGATAAAAATTTAAGACCCCATTTGGTATTCATTTTTGTAAGAATGAGAATGAAAAATATAGTCATTACGGGACCCATACAAGAGATAGAAAATCCAATATGATGGCTTGATATGATGGATAACGATCATATTTTTTCATTTTTGTGGTCAAAGAATGGGAATTAAACAGGGAGTAAATTTGAAATTAAATTTAAGTGGGACGGTTAGCGGGGTGGGGATTATATTTCACGTATTCAAGGCAATGACCTTTGCCCGTACCCATCCTATTTACCCAATTAGGCAGATAATCCCACCCTATTTGGGGCGGAGCTTCATGGGTATCGAGTTGAATGAGTTTTTTAACCATCCCTAATCCCTCTCCCTTTTGAGGATATTTGAGTGAGGAAAATACTACTTGTACCACCTGGTGTACATATTGCACAGGTGGCGAAATCTCACGGCTTTGCATTCTATAAATCGGGTGGTACGAGTAGCATAATTCTTTGAAAGGCGAAATGCATCCACGCCTTCATTTAATTAGGGCCTATTTGATAGAATTTATTTGGAAATAATGAATTATTGAATAGTACTTTTGAAGAATGTGATTAAAACGTAAGGAAACTTTATTGATTTATATGTAGAATATTTTATTGTGTGAATGCATGGTGAAAAATGATCCTATAGTAACCAATTTAAATTTTGAGAAAATTACAACAGAGGCTCCAAACCTTTAAAATATTAGCAGACTTTTCCTAAACTTTTGATTTGTTGCAACCATCATCCCAAACCTTTCGAAATGTTGCGACAGAATCCCCTTTAGATGGTTTTCATCCAAATATTTGTTAGTTGACTAAGAAATTTGATTTTGATCATATTTTTAATATTTTTGAAAAGGTAAAATAGTAACTTTTCATTTATTACATTAAAATAAGTTAAAAATTAAATTAAAAAAATAATAAAAAAATAAGAAATAAAAAAAATAAAAAAATCAATCGTCTTCTTCATCTCAGTGTGTTGAGGGGAGCATTTGAAGCACAAAGTGTTCAAGAAATGTTCCAAGGGACATGAAATGAACTCTTTGAAAGGGTGAAAATGGGGGATGAAAAATGCAGACGAGTAAGGCCGAGTATTTGAATGATTTTCTGCCAATTGCGTGTCTCGGCATACGTCATTCACTGCACAATTAGAATTCTTTGATTTTTAATGACATGTTCTTAGACTTGTGTTACTATTGAAGTGGCAAAGTGCCGTCTAAATTCTAAGCTGCATTAATATTGTGATTGTATTAATTAAAATTGTGGAGGTGGAGGTGGTGGGGGCGATGGCGGCAGTGGTGGTCGGTAATTGATTTTGGGTTTGAAGTGGAGGTGGAGGTGGAGGTGGAGGTGGAGGTGGGGGTGGGGTGAGATGAAGAAAACGATTGGTTTTTTTTTTTTTTTTTTTCCTTATTTCTTATTTTTTCTAATTTAATTTTTGACTTATTTTAATACAATAAATGGAAAGTTATTATTTTACCCTTTTAAAAATATGCTCAAAATCAAATTTCTTAGTCAACTAATAGACGTTTGGATGAAAACCGTCTAAAAGGACCTCTGCCTCAACGTTTCGAAAGGTTTGGGGTAACGATTGCAATAAATTAAAAATTTGCGGAAAGTCTGCTAATATTTTAAAGATTTGGGCCTCTGCTGCAATTTTTCCTTAAATTTTTATAGAGGCCCGTTTGTTTCCCCTTCTTTTATCACAAAAATAAAAAATATGATCGTTATTCATCATTTCATTTCAAGCTATTATATTTGACACACTCTCTCTCTCTCTCTCGTGGATAATATATTTTTCATTTCGTTCTTGTACGAATGAGAATCAAACGGGCAGAATTACAAACAAGAATCCTTTGGCAAATCAATCAAAATAACATACCCAAAACACGGAAACTACCGAAACAAATCAAAATGTCATCCACCACCTCCGAAAAACCTGCAGCTCCCGCCACCCAAAACCCTAGAAAATGGCGTTTCACATGGGAAGCCCAATCTCACTCCTCCACACTCCGTTTACTCCTCTTCAATTCAACCGCATCTTGCTCCTCCTCTCAATTTACAAACCTCAAAGTCAATTTACTTGCCCAGCAATCTTTACTGATTGTGAGCTTTTTCGAAACCGAAGCTCGTATTGAGGAATCCCTTCGGGTTCCGATTCCTCGTGTTTTGATTGACGCTGAATCTCCGGTTCATTTCAAAGCATTTGATGATCACATTGAGGTTAAAGTCGTCTTGCTACTTCCCCCGGACCATCCTCTAGTTTCAGAGTTTGATTCGATGCTGGACTCGTTAAACAATGGGGTTGGTTTGGATGAGCTTAGTCCGCTTTCCATGGATTCTGGTGAGTAATTATTAAAAACTGTTTTCTAAACTTAGATGGATTATATAAAAGGAAAATAAAATTTTACATTTAGGTGTTATAGTCCATTGCCATAGATTACTTTAGACAATTTTTTATTTTTTTTTTTTCCAGGAGTTTCCTATTGCATTCAAATGTATTCAGTATAATTATTTATTTATTTATTTTTTTAATGACTTTGGTGAGTATTTATGACATGTCAGGATTAACTTATGTCATATGATATTTTGCTTTAGATATCAAGAAGTTATCTGCTATGCAAGTGGTGCACTTTTACTGTAGAAACTGCACAACTAAGTTGACAAAGGATCTCAGGTAGCATTTCCTTTTTTGTATTTTGTATTACACTATGATGTGTATAGAATCATTTATGATCTTTTCAGCTGTTGTATCTGGGATTAAAGTTGACCTATTATGATTTCTTCATGACATCGCACAATTTTTGCCCTTTGATTTTCATCGTTCGTGGCAAGCCTGGGAATAATTTTTTAACCAACTTCTGGATGCTTTCATTAGTGCTTTATATTCGAGTTCTGCTAATGCTAGTAATGGTGTTTTTAAGTTAAGATTATATTATGATATTATTATTATTATTATTATTTTTTATTTTTATTTTTTCAATAAATTATGCTTACAGAAAATTTGAGGAAATGCCATCAGTCAACTGGCGGGAAGTCTCTGACAATTGGTTTGGAGCTTGTTGTTGTTCTTTTGGAGGTGTAAGTGAGAAGCTGGTCACGAGATATGCAAAGTCCTATATGTGTGCTCCTGGTGTGGTCCTTTTGAGTGCTACATCCGTACTTCTGTGCAAGGATGACCTTTTGGGATGTGAATTCCCTGATGTGAAAGTCAGGCAAGATTATGATAGTGAGCTAAATTCTACTAGTGATGGTTGTTTGAGTATAAGTGCACTAGAAGATGAAGGTAGAGGACAAACAGTTTTCTTTGAGAATCATAAAAAAGGGACAAATGGCATTCATGGAATTGTAAACAGTCTGTGTGCTGGAGAAAATAATCTTGCATCCAACCTAAAAGGTGAAGGACTAAAACCAGGAGGTGCTGATGATTGTTTATCATGCACATTTCATGCATTGCATACTGAAACAAATAAAGCATCAGTAAATAAAATGTGTACTGACTCAGAAATCCACGTAGGGAACTGTGATACTCAATGTTGCTCTCTAGATAGGTCAGAAACCTCTTCAAAGGAGCAAACAGTGGGTACAAATGTTGAACTTCTTGAAATTCAGAAAGTATTTCTTAATGGCCATCTGGGGAGTGGTTTCATGGAAAGATCTTCCAGTCTCTCTCAAGACATTCAGTGGATTGAATTCTCTTGTCCTCAGTGCTCTTGTTTGATTGGAGCATATCCTTGCTTCAAAGATAATGTACCATTAGATGGTGGAATTCGCTTGTTCAAGTGTTATATTTCAACCTGCTTACCTGTTGGTGGATCAAATGATAAGTTCAGGTGAGTATGTTACATTTTTTTCTTCATCTTTACTTCAATGATTGCACCATCGTCATTGCCGCTTACGATATTAGCAGAAGACTTATCCATCAAAATTATGTTCCTTTTCATGCTTTTATTTGGATATGCATGTTATGTTACCATACTATTACTAATTCTGGAATATATGCATCATTTTCTTAATTGGCTCAATAAATTGGAATTGCTAATAACATCCTTATATTGTGATCTATTGCTTGGGATGCTAATCTTAATACTGTAATTGCAATTACAAATGATTTGTCTACTTGTACACTTTTGATGTATATAATGGGTTACAGCCCCTCACATGGAGGGGGGCCCACATATAATTTATTATGCGTGGGCCCCCTCCATGTGAGGGGTGTAACCCATTATGTGCACCAAAAGTGTACATTTGACATCACCCAATTACAAATATTAGCATTTGACGACACGACTCTTAGTTGGAATGGTTATTTGAGTGTTGCTTGTTTATGTACATTAATAAAGAGGTGAACAGCAGCTTTATGTGGATGTTGCATGCAAACGTTCATGACCAAATGTGCAAAATTGTTGTTCATGTCAAATTATTTCCTTGAAGTATGCACATGTTTTGGTTCATGTTGCTTTCTAAATTATTTGGGAGCTGTTGTAAGAGTTGTCACCTAATTCATGAAAAGAATGAGAACAGGGGGCTAAAAACTCCAATATAGGGTTATGGGAACAATAATATTTACTCAAAACTCATGGTTCTTAAGAAGTGTTTCTTTTGAGCTTGGTGAAAGAGTGACAATGATGGGGTGAGAAGTACGAATTATTCTAACATCGGAAATTAGCTGGTAGATTTTTATTTTTATTTTTTGGTGGGTGTGGAGGTGGTTGAAGGTGTTCAATGGTGGAAAAACACAACAGAGAGCGTATTAATAATGTAATTGTAATTACAAAGGATTTGTCTACTTATATACTTTTGATGTATATAATGGGTTACACCCCCTCACATGGAGGGGGCTCCACATATAATTTATTATGCGTGGGCCCCCTCCATGTTGTTGGGGGGGGGGGGGGTTGTACCCATTATGTACACCAAAAGTGTATATTTGGCATCACCCAATTACAAATATTAGCATTTGACGGCACGACTCTTAGTTGGAATGGTTATTTGAGTGTTGCTTGTTTATGTACATTAATAAAGAGGTGAACAGCAGTTTTATGTGGATGTTGCATGCAAACGTTCATGACCAAATGTGCAAAATTGTTGTTCATGTCGAATTATTTCCTTGAAGTATGCACATGTTTTGGTTCATGTTGCTTTCTAAATTATTTGGGAGCTGTTGTAAGAGTTGTCACCTAATTCATGAAAAGAATGAGAACAGGGGGCTAAAAACTCCAATATAGGGTTATGGGAACAATAATATTTACTCAAAACTCATGGTTCTTAAGAAGTGTTTCTTTTGAGCTTGGTGAAAGAGTGACAATGATGGGGTGAGAAGTACGAATTATTCTAACATCTGAAATTAGCTGGTAGATTTTTATTTTTATTTTTATTTTTTAATGGGGCTGGAGGTGGTTGAAGGTGTTCAATGGTGGAACAACACAACAGGGAGCGTATTTGAATATGGTGTAACATCAATAAAGGACTGCCTGACTCCATCCACCCATGGGGAAATGAAACAAGAAGAAAGGGAACATCGTTTACTTCATATAAAAGGAGGATAAAAAGCATGATTGCAAATGATTGCAAGTGTGCAAAGCTTTCTTCCTGATTATTTTACTCATTCTGAAGAAATAAGAGCTAGGATGTTATGGGTTTGTATTCTGCTGTATGAGTGTGTGATTAAACAGTGTTTTCAATGAATTAGTAGCTTGCCTTCTCTATATCCAAATATGGATTTCCTTAATCAGTGCTTTACCAAGAACTTAGAGGAGATGCAATGCAGCTTATTTTGCCGTTTCATTTTATTTTTCATTTTTAAGTCTTCACTTGATTAGTTCTTATTTCATGGTCATGCATTAATTTGATTTCCAAACAGGAACTACACCCTCGAAAGGATGTTTACAAGCCAGTTGCTGGAAAGTGCAAAAGATGAATTATCATTTCGGACAATTGTTAGGAATTTACAATTTAAATCTGCAGTATTGCAAATTGTTCTCTTGAATCCAAATTCTTGGTGCTGCACAGGATATTGTTTGCTCCCATTGGAATCGGCTAGCAAAATTGTTCTGCACCCAATGGTGAAAGTGCTATTTACTGCTTCTAGTCATGGTGATGAGTTTGACACAGGGTTAGTTCAATTGCAGCACACACTCTATCTCCGCTCCCTCTCCCTCTGTTTTTTTCTTAATTTTTCATTTTTTGGTTGTGTAGAGCGTTTAAATTTGGGTATGAATAGTGCAAATTATTTTTACGTGGAAAATTAATCCTTCCCAAGGATGCTCTTTATGGAATG